TATATATATATATATATATATTGTCACGATGAAATCATCGACCATACATTCCACAATATAAACTTGTCTACGTATTACGCAAAGTATCAATATATATTTATTCGAAATGATACAATCAATTCACAAATTTATCATTTATCACAGGTCCTCCGATGGAATGCCGGGGAATCTGTTATATCGCAAATCGTCGTGGATCGGCCGATTGTGGACCATTATCAAGAAGACTCTCGACATATAGTCGCGATTTCGATATGAATATTAGAAGATCATCCTTGTGCTCCTCAAATTCGGAACAGAATGTATTCTATAGATCGAGGAGTAATAACAGCATCGCGATGACGCATGTGCCTGAGAATGTGACAAGAATGCCGTCAGGACCCGATGGTACTCGCGGATTTTTCATTCGTTCGGCAAGGATATCAACGCCCTTAGAACCTGCTCATTGAACCATCAGAGATTCGTCGTTAATAATAAGAAGTCTGAGGGCGTGCTATAATGCCTATTGATATTTAACGCAGCTGAAAAAATCGAGACAGCAATACATTCAACATCTCTCCTTGAATCTACTTATTCTCTGATATTGACATTCGATTCGAATTTCCCACGTTTTGGGCAAAAAGCCTAATTATATGCCGCAGTCTAATTCACGCTCCCAACGCTTAAAAATCATTTATCCTTGTTGTTTGTCAAATATTAAACAAAGACAAATTATGCTCATGAGTGTCATGAATCGGACCATAATAATATGATAAGGGATGTTCATTACGCTTGTTTCAAGAGGAAAATAAGCAGGGACTAGGAGTCCATGTTTCTATAGTCAAAGAAACAATCTTATTCTGACAAAAATGAATTAGAAAAAACGGAAAATATAAGTTTAACACTTGCAAGAATGTAAAACTTCGTAAATAAATAGTGAAAAAATTATTTTATACTTTAAATTCTTCTCTTACTTTTATAAAATGATAATAAAATTATTACGATATTTAATATCGCAATACATTTCATTGTTTTAAAAAATATATGTAAAATGTAAAATAAAAAATATCTTAAAGTGTTAGAATTTATTTCTTTAATCATTCTTTAATTATTTTTTAATCATACAGTAAAAGAATGTAAACTTTCTATTCAAAAAATAAAAAACAAAAGAATCACATATGTTCTATACAGTATTTCTTATAAAATAAAATATAGTTTTATATTAAATCCATATTAAGAATTCTCTGTCATCTTGAATCTGCAAATAATGATTTATTCATTAATGAAATATTAGCAATATAAAAACTTAATATAAAAGTAATATCTAAATATTAAGCCAATAATAATTCCTATATACAAATACGCACTTGCACTTGGTACATGTGAAAAATACAGTTTGTCCTTCGTCAGCAGATCTCAATTGCAATGTTGCATAGGACATTTTATCGTTATGACACTGAGGACATTCTCGCTCCACTGTTGGTCCATCTGCGTCATCATCACTATCATCCTCCTCTTCTTTGACAGATACATAAGTATCTTTAGTATTAAAATGGATCGTATGTGTCATTTCCATATCGCCAAAAACTGGAAAATAATGATAGAAATTAATAATCCAAATTAATGTAAATTTTTAATTATTTCTTAGCTTACATACAAAGGATTGCTAATGCAATCTCATAATGTTTTGCAGATTTTTTTTAATTATCGTATAGTGGTACCTTCAGCATCCCATTCTCTTTTGCATGTGTAACATGTAACTCCTCCTTTCTCCCCAAGCAAAGGTAAAATTGAACCACAATCCGGACAAAAGCCAGGTACGGTAATAAAAGAACTCTTGTTATTATCTGCCATCATTTAACATGTATTTAATCAATACAAATACAAGTTGTATCTTTCTTCTTGAAAATGTAACCTGTATATAATGTACATTCAAATAGTCTTCAATAATCTCGAACTGTCTCGAATAACGCTGTTAACTGACTGCTATAGGCTATATGCTGTTTAGCTGTTACTTGCTACAGAAAAGTTTTGAAAGAAACTCACTGATGATTCCTGTTTCTATCCACCAGCGCCTCCATGTGCACAAAACGTGCATTACTATGTAGTTATCTTCCGATGGAATGTGTTACGGTTTCTGTACATTTACGGTTCTATTCCATGCTGACCTGCTAATTAAGCTACGTTCAAATTCTCATTCGAGCGCCACTCAGGTATCACTCCATCATTATTGTTTATTTTAATGTCAAATAATTATATAATATATAATATACATATAATATATATATATTTTATATATATATATATATATATATATATATGTGTGTGTGA